GTGAACATCGGCATATTAGTACAATTACGAATTAATATTAATATTAGTAGCCTATAGCAAATATTAAGGAAGAAATACACAAAATTATTATAGTTATGTGGACTAGACTTCACACTATTTTCACCAAATAATTTAAAAGAACCTGCTCAATGAAAAAATAACATAACATCATGTTTTGTAGTGCATATATTTTCTTTCTTGATTCATTTGGTAATTGACTTTCAGAATATATATGATAATAAGGTATTTCAAAAACTTTGAATTACAGATTTTCAAATTCTTCTAGTTATAACTTAACATAAAGATACTTTCAGTATTTTAGATTTTTATAATTCTAATTTTAAGTGCTTCAGTGTATTTACAAGCAAATTAAGCAATTTTGAACTTACTTTTGAGAATAGATATTTCAACACTTGAAGTTATTCAAAGTTATGTAATATTTTTGAATAGCACTGATAAAAGAGTTTGATTGTAGCATGATACAAGTTTTATTTACAATATTTTTTAAATCCAGCTTCTGATATGAATAAATTTTAGTTTTGTTTAATAACTTATTCCTTGAGTTTATCATTTTGAATATCAAAAAATTTAATCCATAAAATATATCCGTAATTTATATACAAAAATAATGAATGGTATATAAAGTTACAGAATGAAAACACATTCTGGCACATTCTAGAATCAAAGCTTAAAAAAAATTAAAATTTCAGTGTTCAGTATAATCTCAAATTTTGCTTGTGTCTCACCTACATACAATCATTATAACCCAGTTAAATTTACAAAGTGCTTGGTTTTTTGGATTTTTTTAGCTTTTTTATTTTCATTTAGTAAAATAATTCCTACTAAATTGAAGTACAAGTTTCAATTTTTTTCTTCATTTTTAAACCATAAATCAGGACACAAATGTTGGAATAATGGAAGTGTTGTTCTAACATCTAATGCATGTTTTTTCAAGAAAGAGTTTACTTAGCATGAAAAAACAAAAACAAAGGCTTGTAAGGATCATCTGTTTGGCAAAACTTCAGAAGAGAATTTGCTAGTGGATGAGATATTAATTTACAGCAGTTGGCATGATAGCAAATTGTTTTACTGACTTCAACAAGGAATGTTTTTTTGTGTGTTTTGTGAAAGAAAAATACATTTTTAGATTATTTAAGTAATTCAACAGAAAAAAAATCTGGTAACTTGCAAAGGACAAATAACATATAACACACTATTATCAATTGTGCATGTAGCAATAATGTGTGGAAATGTTGAAAAGTTTCTTTCGTTTTTTAAAATAGTGTTTGTTAGTAGAATAATGTCAGATATTTCATTCAGTTCTATAATTTTTCTTTTGAATCCTTTCAAATACTTGAAAATTGTCCTCACGTATTTCTAACACACTTTTAAATTTAATGGGCAATTTTATTTACACATCCACAAATTTCCATATAGAATAATTCTATTTATGAGAAGGTGTATCATTAAATTACACACAAAAATTATTATTTATAATCTTAAAACAATTTTCTCTGTAGCTTCCTACTAAGATATGGAACTTATGGTTTTCTCTATTTTAGGTAAAGCATTTTGACAGGAAAAGACAATATCTCCAGCTCAAGGACAGGATCCAGAATGAAGGGTATGAATCTATTGAAAGAGAAAGTAAAAATTCTTGAAGTAGATTTAATTCTAATTTACAGTGTGAGGAATTAGAAAATAGATATCACATGTTCACATATATCAGTCATAATAAGCAGTTATCTTTGAAAACAAAATGAAAATTTGGATGACTTTATTGGTATATAATTTTATATAGATTTGCTGCATGTTTGTTATCATTATTAAAAGAAAATGAGTCTCAAGAGCATATTTTGATCAATTTTTTTTCAACAACTTTTATTGCCCATATATTTTAACAATTCAATTCAAATGTAAACTTATTCATTTCCTGCTGAATCCTTAAAAAAATTATATTTACTAATGCAAGATAATTTTACTCACCCAACAAATGGTAAAGAATTAAGCTTAAAGTGGTAGGGTCCTTAGAGGAAACTTATTTGCTAATTACAAGAGGAGTACACTCACCTAAAGATTACTTTTTGTGTGGAACAAAAACTTCTTACTCAGCAGTTGATTTGTGTACTGTAGCTTGAAGACTCGTATGTTTCAAATTATTGGTTGCATGTTATACAAATTGGATTGATGTTATATGAACAAAAATATTTCAAGCTAATTCCTTTGCCTTTACTTAATTGTATCAATTATTATTAAAGAGTGGTATCTTGCTAACTCTTACTTTTTTAATGCATCAGTAGTGAACCCTCTTTTTATATTATAATATGTATTGAAGTATTGTGAAAAGTTGAATAGGAACTTTATGAATTTGTTTTTTATTTGCAACTACTATAGTATGAAGAGTTTTAACTCAACCCAAAAGTCCCTTGTTTTTTTACATACAAATGAATGAATGTTAAAGAAGATATATATATATATACACACACACACACACTCTCTCTCTCCCACATGCACACACACATGACACAGACTAAAGAAAAACTATACAATAATTGTTTGCTAGTATACCTTCAGAAAAAATCTGGCTCTTTAAAACAACGTGTAAAGCAGCTTCATGCTATGAGTAGAGTTAAAATAACCCTGTTCAGAAAGCACAAAACATTTGTTTTTTTAATTGAAGGCCAAAATGAATTAGCTAAGAATGGTATATTTATGTGAGAAGAAAGTTTTTTAGATATGCTATATATATACATACCAAAATATCTTACAAATACAGATAATGCTTATCTTGATTTATTTGGTTTTGTATGTTCCTTTAATTTTGTGCATATATAGAACATTCAAACTTCAGTGGTTTTTAAAACTGAAGGGCACTAACAATATTTGAATTTATGTCAGTATATATATAGTATTAGTACTATCTCAGGAGTTCCAATTATCCTGACATTTTGTATTGTTTTTGACAGATGTTGAATATAAGTTCAATAGCTATGTTAAGATGATGCCCATATTAATAAGTACAAATTTCTTTCAGAGTCTATTTTTTTATTTTTCTAGATGGATCAAAAGGTCAGGGAGTGGTAGTTTAAAAAGAAATTGTCTTGACCAAGTATTTATTTTTAATAATTCAAGTTTTCATTCATTTTCTTTAATTTTCTGTAAAATAAAATAACACTTCAATTAAATAAATAACCAAAATAAAATAAAACTAGAGAATTAAACAATCACAGAATTGTCTTTGTTCACCAGGTATATTTATTGCAAAGAAAGAATAAAAGATTATAAGTTCAGACATGAAAAAACGTTTTTGAATAATTTTAGCTAGTCCTACACTATGAGCCTGAATTATCTGAAACTAATTTGTTAATCATTTTATCTGGAAATTAACAGCAAATACAAATTATTCTTTAAACTCGTATATATACTTTGCTCCAGAGTTTAAAGAATCTTAAAGCAATCGTAACAAATTTTTTATTTAACTACTTTTAATAAATATAGTAGTTAAATTTTTATTTAACTACTATATTTATTAAAGGCATTCGAAAATTATTTTTCTGTGGTCTTTTCCTTAAGCTATTGGAATTATAGCTGAGAGTAAATTCACACAAATATTTGGTCAATAAATTTAGATATTTTGTTTAGTTTTTCTAGTCTCTTGCTGCATTCTGGCCATTCAACACATTCTCCACTAGTGGGGTCTATATATTGCATGGTGTTGTATAATTTGATGTTTTTGCCTGTTACAAAACCCCCTGTAAAAACTGATTAAAACAAACTAGGCAGAATCACTCATTTTCTGTAATAATCACTGTGAATAAAACTGATTTGCTGTTTTTGTTTTTTTATGTGAAACATAGTACTACAGACCATATAACCAAAAATTTCAAAGACTTGCAAGTAACTTAGTGCATTATTGTAGAAAAATGTGCTTTAAAAGCCAGTGGGGTCTTATAAACCCCACCAGTTAATCCTTTAAGACTGTGGTTTTGGTAAATCCTAACAGTGAAATTTACTTAATGAATTAACAGATTTAGTATTAGCATGAAATATTCATAGCTGTATCTTGTCAGGTTGGCTCACAAAAGGTATAAGAGATAAAATCAAAGAATAGCATTACAAATTTAAGAAATTTAAATTGACTGCTATGATGGGAGCTTTAGAAGATTACAGAAGCTCAAGAAAGTTGGCAAATAAGAAATTTGGACATCAAAAAGATTGGGCGAAAATGTAAAAAATAATAGGAATTCTTGAAATACAGGGTTATAGGTTATGTAATAGGGATAGAGTACTAAAGAGAATGAAAAGAGTGGCTTTATATGTAAAATGTAAGTTATATCCTGTTGAAGTTGAAGATAATAGCAAGGAGATTGAATCCATTTGGGTTTATATTAGCAGATATAAAGGGAAAGGGCTTTTAGTGGGAACTTGTTACAGACCATCAAATGATACTGATGACATTAGTGAGAAACTTTACAGTGAGATTGAAATTTACCTGTTAATGAAATCATAATTATGGGTGATTTTAATTTCATGCATATGGATTGGGAAATGCTAGAGTCAAATCATGGGGGAAAAAGGTTTTTCGAAACTGTTCAAGATGGTTTTCTTCACCAGTTGGTCAAGGAACCTACTAGAAACAATGCTGTTTTAGTATTGTTAACTTCTAATATAGAAAATGTTGAGAGGATGGAAACTGGGGATTATCTGGGTGCAATTGATCATTAATCTGTTATGTTCGATGTTTTGCTGCATATGGAGATCAGGAATAATGATATTTTGGTTACAAATTTTGAAGGGATATGACAAGAATTATTTGTTGTGAATTGGGCAGCTGAGTTATTTGGAGTTACTTAATGTGGAAAGTTTATAAAGATAAATTTTTAAATATTCAAGATAAACATATTCCTTTTAGGAAAAAAAAAAGGTGGCTGCAAGTAAAAAATCACGTTGGCTCATGAACGGTATATAGGATCAAGAAAAGAAAAGCATCAGAAGTTTAAGAAATTTAAATTGATTAGTATGACAGAAGACTTAGAAGATGAAGAAAGTTGGTCAAACAGAAAATTAGGGCATCAAAAAGGATGTATGAAAAAAAGGTTTGGCTGAAAATGTTAAAATTAACAGTAAGGATTTATTTAAATACATTAAGGGTAAACAAAATGTTAGGAGAGGTAGGACTCTTGAGGGATGATAAAGGAAGGCTTGTATCTGATGATTAGGAGATTGGCTGGGTTATTAAATTCTGGTTTTTCTCCAGTTTTTACTGATGAAGATTTATGCAGTATTCCTCATCTTGAAAATTTGATAGATGGAAACAAGATTGAACTAGATTACTGCATTAACTTTGAGCTTGTTAAGAAAAAAAATGGGAAGTTTAAAGAATGACAAGGCTCTGGGCCATATAATATTTACCCCAGGATTTTGAAGGGGGATTAAGGATTGGATATGTGAGCCACTTGCTACTAAATTTTGTAAGTCCTTGACTAGTGGGCAGGAGCCAAAGGATTGGAAGTTAGCCACTCCTCTTTTTCAATGGAGGTAATAAAAATTGTCCCAGTAATTATAGGCCTATTAGTCATACATCAATTGCAGGAAAAGTTTTGGAAAGTCTGGTAGAAGATGTTTTGCAAAGTCATTTAATTTAACAAAGTTTAGAATTTTATTGTACACTTAATATGATTTTGCTAAGGGAAAATCTTGTTTTACAAATCTTTTAACATTCTTTGAAAAGGTTACTGCTTACATATATGAAGGTAAGGGTGTAGATTTGGTGTATCTGCATTTTCAGAAAGCATTTGACAAGATGCCACATAAAAGGCTTGTAAGAAAAAGTATCACTATAGGTGTGTGGGATAAGTTAACAAATTGGATAGAAGAGTGGTTAGATGGAAGAAAGCAGAGGGTTGTTGTAAATGGAGTTCAGTCAAATTGGATTAATTAATGGGTTGCCTTCAGATTTTGTGGAGGTGGTAAATTTAAGAGAGTTTAAGAGAAAGCTTGATAACTATATGAATGATGAAGGCTGGCTTTAAAAATTTTTTTAAATTCATTTATTTAATAGTTTAGTTTAGAGGATGGGACAGCTGAGATGGACTAATAGGCCCCTTGTTTTCCTTAAACATTATGTTATGTTATATAGCAAATACATTATTTTAATGCATAGATAGTTGTTCTAAATAGGATTAATCCTAGATATAAAAGTTATTGTAATTAAATGAAAATCTAAAACAATTCTTATTTGCTAGTTTTATATTACGTAAAATGGCTTCATCATTTGGGAAAGGAACATATATCTGATGCAATCACTGACTATTGTTTTGTTATAATATGTAAATTGTTATGACTAACCCTTTACAAGCTGCAACAATAGGTGCTGATTTTACAATTAGTTTGATGCATAATTACTTTCATATTTTTAACATAAAATTTTATGTATATATATATATATATATATATAACGTAATAAGATGTTTTTTTGTGCATTGTTGTATAGACAAGATATCAAAAGAGAATATTTGCTATTAATTGTGAATTTTTAACCAGTGGCGTAACCACAAAAGATGGACCCCCCCACACACACACATAAAAAGTAATTAAGCCCCCCCTACATTTATACCTCTTATAAGCATTTCTTAAGTTTTTCAGGCCCTTTGGGTCCCTCTTTTGTCTCACTCCCCCCCTCACCCACACACAATTATGGGGCGTACTTATGCCGTTACTTAAAATAAATTATTATTGTAGGTTTTATTGTTTTCAGTAAGATGTACTAATAAGAATATATAAGAGAATAGTTATGTGTTAATGGACAGAATATAGAACAACAGCAACAGGTACAATAAACTTTTTGAAAGTATATTTTTCACCTATATAGTATAATCTAGAACATACAAATCAGAAATTCATTTTTGAGTGCAATAAATTAAAGTTATTATTTCTTTAACAAAAACTAATGAAAATAAAAGTACACATAGCTGGTTACTGTTGTGAAATATGGAACAGCTCTTGAATTGTTATTCTGTTTTGTTTATTTGATTTTTAGCGCAAAGCCACATTAAATTATGCTGTGTCCACCACAGTGAATCGAACCCCGGATTTTTGCATTGTAAGCCTGTAAACCCACCGGGGGACTGAATTGTAAGACAAGATTGATAGTAATTTTGTCATCATTAGGAAGTTGGCATTTTGAAGATTTTAGCAAAAATACATGAAATAGCGAGTCTGCAGTAAATTTAAGAAATTATACTGCCAAAATTCGAAGTTCGATTTCCGTTTGTTAACTATGCACAGATAGTCCATTTGTGTTAAAAATAATGCTATGACAGACTTCATAAGAAATACGTATATGTATCCAGTTTATAGGGGAAAAAAAGACAGAAAGAGATATATATTCAAACAGAAAAAGAAACAGTAAAAAAAAACAAGAAAGTTGTTTTATGGTTCAGAATAGATGTATTTAAATATCTTAATTATACAAACAGAAGCAGATGCAGTTTAAATGCTTTAAATGTGTAGACGTTGGCATAACTTTGACAGACCAGAGGAGCTGTAATTAAATACAGACTAAAGCATGAATTAGATTGTATGATAATATGAAAGCGCATTTATAAAAAAACAATAATCACTAAACAAAAAATCCAAATAATCCGTAACAATTCAAAGGCGAATGAGGCAGGAAGCGTAAAGTGTAAAAGTTAGTGACGTGATCTACAGTGACTTCTTGGGTATCTATGGCAGCCCACCCTGACAACACTGAAGCGCTCAGATTGGCTCTCAATGGGAATGTTGCAGGGTGGCTGATTTCCGGTGCACGAAAAGACAGGAATAGGTTGTTAAAGAGAAGTTTGAGAAAGAAAGTAATTAGTACTGGAATGAGAATGGGGGGTATAGAGAAATTATCTTAAAAAAGGACATTTCAAAAGTTATGTGGGAGCTAAAGTAGGTTACTAATAGTGAGTTATAGAAGCACACGAACAAAAAATCAAGTTTCAAAGGCGTTGTTAATTAAAATGAAATTAAAAGAAAAAGATATAATAAAAGTAAAAATAATAACGCATGATAATGGTAAAATAAAATAAAACTAGGAAGTGACAAAGAATATTAGAAATCGATTTATTAGGCTTGAATATTAATGAGTAACAACAATACAACAAAAGTTCGTGAAATATGTCTAACTTTCTCTTTTTATCTTCAGGTTTAAAAAATTCAAGGAATCAAGGTAACAAACAAAATTTACAATGTAAATACTACGTTATTTGTAAAAGTTCATAAACAGTTGAAAATAAATACGAATTAAACTAGAACAAGTGAAGTCCCACAGAAGTACAAAATTTAAGTTCCAAAGATTCTGTTTTAGAAGCATTTGTCTGTAGGCCCGCAATTAGAACTTGGACTTCAGATAAGGATATTGTAGGGTTAGTGACAGGAAGTAGAAAGAGGCACCTTTCTTGTGGATATGCATATAAATGCGATAAAAATCAATCTGACGAAAAATTGATTAAATGTTGAACGTCATTAATTCTGGGCCCGCAAGGATAAACATTATCCACACTGGCAATTCAATATGCTTCTTTTCTTTGCTTTCTGGATTAACTCTAAACTCACTGACAATACATAAGAGAATGTCATTAATGGAATTTTCAGGGTGGTTGAAACTCAGCTAATTTTTGGCATTGAATGAAAATTTGTGACTTGATACAAGAGTCACCTCTAATGTTCACAGAAGACATGTCTTCAAATTCGATGACGAGGAACCCACTTTGAGACTAATAATGGTTGGAGACGGCTTGAATGGGTAACGAAGAAAAACTTTAATACAAGTTTAACATAATAGCAAATGTACAACGTTTCGACAAGGTTTTGTCATCATCAGGTCTATTGACTGGAGGTTTGTGCTATTGATATGAGGGTTATTTTTGGTATGGATAAGACATGTCTGTTGATAAGAGGGTCTGTTTTGGCGTTGAAAAAAAGACTCGTTTGTTCATAGGAGGGTTTGTTTTTTGGTTTGAATAAAGCACAAATCTGTTGTTACATTCTCTCTGAGTCGCTGTTAATTACATTTTTTACGCTGTATTAGATATAGCGGTGTTATATGTATAAATGATCTAATAGTAAAGTGGCATTAGTTGGAAAAAGTGTGCGTAGTTTTCATGAAATTACATGTCTAACAAGAGCTTCATTAAACGAATGACAACCAAGTTTTGTGGTGGGGTGTGATTGACATAACTAGGACATCATTGAGAATTTTGTTCTTCCGGAAGAAAAAGTTTCAGCGAAAGGAATATAGTTTTGTTTTTTAGAGTAGTTTAGAAGCTCTTGAGTTTAAAACCCTAGATACCAACAAAAATCTGTTTTATTTTTTGGTACTGGATTTGCATTTATGATGTCACTTTGTATCAAATTCAGGGTGTTTGTTGTGACAGTGTAATTCAACACTTATTTTCATTTATGATGTCACTTTGTACCAAATTCAGGGTGTTTGTTGTGACAGTGTAATTCAACACTTATTTTCATTTATGATGTCACTTTGTACCAAATTCAGGGTGTTTGTTGTGACAGTGTAATTCAACACTTATTTTCATTTATGATGTCACTTTGTACCAAATTCAGGGTGTTTGTTGTTACAGTGTAATTCAACACTTATTTCACAGATCAAAGCATCTGAAATTCAATTCCTTTTTTTTTTACTTTTACCAACTAAAATATCTCTATTTCAGTATATTTTTGTAAAGGCGAAAGCAGATTTAATTTATTACTTGAATTTTACGGTCTAGAACAGCTGTATTTCAACACGTGTACCCCTTTTTTTCCCATTTTTTGCAGAGCAGCCTTCGTCAAAATCAGAACGGAATTGTCTACTCAGTCAAGTAGTGCTTGATGAAAAGAGAGCTCAGGATAGCTGAGTGAGTAAAGAGAGAGATTAATTCTTCTAGAAAATAACATCTAACGTAAAGCTGTCAAGAACCGAGACCAGAGATGGACCAAATCAACACCGAAAATCACTTTAGCACTGACTGTGCTACTTCTTTTGTCACAGTCGTCAAGAATCTTGATCTCGGCGATTTGGTTGGTGCGTTTGTAAAGGATCCGTGCTTTAACAATAATTGTGTGATATGTGAGTTATCCATACAGAATTTTTCAGTTTTTTTTTGACTTTTTATGTAATGGTAGATGTTTTAGTAATGTTGAAGTGTAGCGTACATAAGCTTGACATGGAAGGTATGTAAAAATTAGACAGCGTCAGTCGTCACGTCAGTTTTATTAAAGATGCGCCTTATTACATGTAACGATGTTAATCCTATGTAAATAAGTTGTGTGTTGTACAATTTTTTACATAAGCACTATACATATGTATATGTGAAAAAAAAATAGTGAAAATTCGATAGGTAATTCTTTCCAGTGTATTTAATGTGCTATTGCCTTCTGTTTATCCAATTAGTAACAAGATATAAAAAGATTTAAACATATTGTGTCGCTTTAAACTACATAGATTGTAATATTCATTTACTGAAGTAATCGGAAGCTGTAGTAGATACTGTTTGCAGTAACTTCGCATAATAATGCTGTTCTTGGAAAAAAAATTACACTGCAGCTTAAAGTCAGGCGAACTTGCATTTGTCAGCTAATAGATGAAAGGTTTTATGGGTATAAGTTAGTGATTGTTTTCGAAGTGGATAATGCAAAATGAAACTTGACTTAAAACATTCGTAGCCCTTAAAGTTCACCTAATTTTAGGAGCAAATTTAAAAGGTGTAAAAAACACTACTCAAAATCACATCAAGAACACGTTTCGTGTCACCAGTTAATGATTATAAACGGCATTAGTGGCGAAAGTAGGCAATGACCAGTTCAAGACAGTAGTTAGGACAACTAATTTTAGTAACGATGCCTAATGAAAACTTCAATTTGGATATAGCTCAATGCTAAGCTATAGAAAAGATCAGGTTGCTATAGGACTGGCTCCTTCATTTCGAAGCGGGTTTAAGCCTTTGAAAGATCAAAATCATTTTTGATCATTTATCTAGTAAGTATGATACTATAAAGTTAAGAAACTTTTATTGAATGAGCATAGTACAGTATATTTAAGTAAATTTATTTATGTTCTGGGAATTTCAAAGTCGACTTTCGTTGGTTAAGTATAGGAAACAGCGGTAAGTCTGAGGGCTTATAACGCTAAACATCAGGTTTTGATACCCGCAGTGAGCACAGCACAGAGCCCCTTGCGTAGATTTGTGCTTAACAACAAACACACAATCTTCTGGTCATGGTGGCATTTTCCTGTAAATATACCTCTGGATATTCGTGCTCTGTTATTTTTGGCTCAGAACGCGGAAATTAGGCTACTGCCGTCAAAATGGTAAAGGCAACAAAAATAACCACAGGCTGAGCAATTTGCGACGAATGCTGACGTAAGCACTAAACTAATTGCTTATAGAAGAGGGTGGCTTGCATGACGCAAAGGCTGTTAAGAATGCTCAACTTCGCGTGAAGTTGTGAGTTTTGTAAAAAAAAATAATAAAAAAATTGAGTTGATGCTATAACCGGTGTGTAAAAATTTGTTAAGTTTTTAGAAAAATGTCATTTATATGAATAATTCAGATGCTTAAACTCACGACGCAGGAGGTCCAACTCTTTCATCCAAACCAAAATGAGGGTAATTTTGAAATCCAACTAATATCAAAACGTTTTAACTTTAAACAAGTATCGGTATTACGGAGAAATGATGTACATCGGCTGCGCAATAATGTTGAATTTTCTTGAACCGCCAAGTTCAACACCGACTTTTCTTAACTTTTATTTTATTTTTTTTAGATTCTTGATTTATGTTTAGATGTTACATAAAATAAAATAAACTTGTATACGAGAGATGTTCAGAAAGAATTGGGATTTTATTTCCCAACATTATGCTGAATATAAGTAAATTGCATATGAAACAAATGATCGTGATAATATGCCATTATACGTTTGCTGCTGGTTGCATCATACGTTATGGCATACAATACGAGATGGAAAATGCAGATGACATCGGTTTTAAACATTATTTCTTAAATAATATTCTTGCCCCCCCCCCCCCCCACGTGGCACAGCGGTATGTCTGCGGACTTACAACGCTAGAATCCGGGTTTCGATACCCGTGGTGGGCAGAGCACAGATAGCCCATTGTGTAGTTTTGAGCTTAACTTCAAACAAACAAATAACGTGTTTGCTCCAAAGTGGCAC